AACTGGTCTATGTGTTTCCGGTACCGAATGCCCTGCAACTTATCATACCTATTCCTGCCACAGGAATATCCTTAAAATATGATTCTCAGCATTTTCTTCCCCCAGTCAAAAGCTTTTGATGACTATCAATGGTCTGGTAAGTAAAATAAATCACCTCATCCTGCTACTCAGGTTCCTCTAACACTTGTCCTGAAACCTTGCTTCCTGCTTCTACAAATTCCCCCTTCCATGCAATCTGGGATCCACTAAACTAGGCTACTTGCCATGCTGTGCACATGCTACCTTGTAAGCTCCGTGAGGACAGTAATGTCTTATTCATGGCCAAACCCTAGTACCTAGCCTCACAGTCAAAGCTCAGTAAAAGTTTGTTGAAGATGGTGGGCATTCTTCATTATGATAAATACGACAATGACAAAAATACTAGTAATGATAGTAAAATGGCAATAATGATGATGATGATAAATCACAGAGAAATAACAATCATAGACATTGACTGAACCATTGGTCAATAGCCACCAAGCTCTAAATTTCTTAATTAAACCTTACAATAATCTCATCATGGGGCTACTATCCTTATCTCACCCCACCAATGAGATGATCAACGCTCAGAGAGGTTAAGCAACCTCTCTGGTATTGGTTGACTGACTCTTTCATTCACATATTCAACAAATGTTACTGAGGGTCTCCCACATGTCAGGCTCTGTCCTAGGGATCGGGGACGTAACCTACATCTCTTCCTCTTTGTGAGCAAGTTCCTTGCTTTCATGGAGCTGACAGTCTAATGGTGGAAAACAGACACCCACTCGCTAAATAAATGAGATAAAGTCAGAAAGTGGTAAGTAATCAAAAGGAAAGTAAGTCAGGGTAGTGGGACCAACAGTGATGGGATGACTATTTCACCCAGGGGTAAGGGGAAAGGCTCATGGGGATCACTGAGGGGATGGCAGCCAAACAAAGTCCTGATGGGTGAAAAGGAGTGAGCCACTGAAGACCTAGAGGGAAAATCTTCCAGGCAGAGGGAACAGCAAGTACAAAGGACCTGTGGCAAGAGTGTCTTCAGTATATTCCAGAAACAGTAAGGATGCCGGTGTGTTTGCAGGTAAACGTGGCAGAAAAAGAGGAGAGCAGAGACACTGCACGGGTTAGATTGTGGGAGCACTGCAGGTGTGACACAGACTTGGCTTTGGCTGTGCTTTGGAGGGAAAGCAACAGAAGGGTCACAGAGCCAAGAAGTGACAGGGTCCATCCTAGGTTTTAAAAGGATCTCTCTGGCAAGGAAGAGCTAGTGGGGATCCGTTATAGGAATATTAAAGTCATACCAGTGAGAGAGGGAGGGGGCTGAGAGGAGCCTGGGCTCTGATGGGCTGCCTGAGGAGTCTGTGAGGAAAGAAGGAGTCCAGGACTAGCCCAGGGTTTCTGGAAGGTGAGGGAGGAGCAGACGGAGGGCTGAGGATCAGGAACTCACCATACACATATTCAGCGCGAGCCGCCTACGAGCCAGGCATGTGGGGATATGAGTTAGCTGACAGCCGGCTATACATGACTTTAGTTCACTGAAACAAAACAGGGATAGAACTTTCTGTCTCAGAATTATCAGCAAATGGATGGCATGTTAAGTCCTGCAACGGGATGAGATCATCTCAGGAGTGAGTGCGGAGAGGTCGGGACAGAGGAGGGCAGGACTGGCCCTGGGGAGCTGCAGGGTAGGAGGATGAGGGGCGAAGGAAGGAGTGCTCAGCCAGGCAGGCGAAGACCTGAGAGATGTGCCCTGGAGGCCAGGGGGAGACAGGGCCTCAAAGCCCAGGGTAGTGCCCATCCCTGGCCAATGCTGCTGACAGGTCAGGTCAAGCCGGGCCTCACATCAACCCCTAGACTTGGCAGAGGTGGAAGGCGCTGGACCCGTCCTCCGCAAGAGCAGTTCCGGGGACTGCAGCTGCTATGTGGATTCTCAGCTACTCCGGCTCTGGCTCCCTGAATCTCCCTGGCCCTGGCTCTCTTTAGGTCCCAATTCCCTTCCTCTCCTCAGACTCAGCTCCTGGGCTCCCTGCATCATGGAACCTTCCCTCAGCCCCTAGTCACATTTCACTGCCATGGCATTTACCTTGTTTTAGATTTATTCACTGCTGACCATGGCTAGATATCCGTGGAGTGGACGAGTCCTTGGAGGAATAAAAATACGCCAGGTGAACGTCATGCAGAATAACAAAATGCGACACGGAAGTGTGGTATAATTACTGCCACTATGAAGGCAGCTCAGGGATCTCTCAGGGAGAACAGCCCCAGACGCTAATCTGTTAGCCCAGTCTCTGGGTTCCCCTGGCCTGCAGGGCTGGGGAAGGAGCCGGGCAGCGAGCCCCGCCTGCTGAAAGGAGGCTCGATCGTGGTTTTCAGGATCTGGGCTCCGGGCCCAGCTCTGCCCCTGGGCGGCGTGACCTTAGGCGAGCCCCTCCAAACTTCTGGGACATAATTTCTTCACCTTTGAAATGAACAGATTATATCCCATCTGCTCAAAGATCCTTCTACCCATTTCAGGTCCTTCTCAGATTAGAAACTAATGTGGTCATAATAGTGGTGTGAAGAGTTAGTCGTGCCCTTTTCTCTCTACTGAAGCTATGAAATCTCAAAGACCGGTCTTCTCCTTCTTTGCCTCAAGCACAGTATACTGGTAGATGCACAGTAAATATCTTTTGATTTACTAGATCACCAGGATAAATACTTTTTTTTACGAAATGTACCCTGGCCCGATCTCTCTCCACCCTGCCCCCCCATATCTCTTCTCAGGTCAGTGCCTCAGTCCTTCCTTAATTCACCCTGGGGTTGCTCCTGGGTGCGGTATTCCCTAGAACTATAAAGGCTCATGACCCAGGTCCGTCACTAATTTTGTGCCTCTTGACCCTGCTGGCTTAGAGTTGAGGAAATCAAGACACAGGTTCTACAACACAAACCAGAATGCTGGTACTAGACTGTCTTAGCTAATCCAGCCCATGGAACGAGGGTGCTCACGGAAAGTAGTAGGTTTTGTCAGATTATGGAGATTCTTGAATGCCAAGCTCAGAGTCTGTGCTCAGGAATATGAATCTACCATGTCTGGAGTATCCTGGAGGGGACAGAACGTGGAGAAAGGGAGATCAGCTAGAAAACTGAAGAAGCTATGTCACGGGGGCGTGGCAGGGAGGGCCCGAACTGGGACAGAGAGAAGAGCTCAGGACCCCTGCAAGCCTGTACTTTGCTGGCCCCTTTGCTAGGGACAGTCCTTAAGACGCGGAGTCACGTCAACACCCACTCTGTTCCAGGAACTAGGTCCATGTTAAGATGGTCCCGGTGCGCTGGGACCAGCAAGTGGGGGCGTGGGCTTAGAGTGGAGATAGAAAATGCACATCTAAATGTTGTGGGGTGAGTGCCGGCCGGAGGTGTAAACAGGGTGCTAGTGGGGATGGGGGCTGCACAGAGGAAATCAACATTCGAACTGGCTGTGCCCCTCTCCAGCCTTCTGATGAGCCCTCCCGGGAGGCTGAGCTGGATGGACGACATCGTGGCTTCCCTGTTCTTGGCTTCTGGCTGCGTATCAGAGGGAAGGGAGACAGGGAGGGCAGAAGGTTTATTTCCTTCGCTCCCAGGAGATGAACCTTGGGTTAGCGGTGTCTCTCAACCAAGAGTCACTGCTTCTGTCAAGGTGGTCTGTTCTACAAGACTCTCCTTCTGGGTTCTGGTGACTGTTCCCTCCTCCTAGGCCTGACTCACAATGGCTCTGCTATTATGCTCCCCTGTAGTTTCCCCAGACCCCAGGCAAGAATTTGTGATTAATTCCTTTATCCCAGTGTGACTGGATCTCTCTCTCTCTCTCTCTCTCGTTGGGACTCTCACAGATATCCTGGGCCTTTGAAATAAGAATACACAATTCTTTGGGACTTTATCTCCTGGTAAACTGTGAGCTCTTCCCTGAGGAATCATGTCTTGTTCATCTTAGCCCTCTCTCCCCACTTCTTCTCTTAATGGGAGTTTCTGTTCATAGGGGTTGCTTATTGATTGTTTGCTAAAAGATATTCATTTCTCCTCCGTCACAGCCATGCCTTTGACCCCAGCTAGTCATGTGGCTGTGTTCTGAACATTCCCCAGGGGAGGAGCCACAGCTCTGTTCCCCCCTTCACCTTCTGGCTGTTCTCACCTCACTGTTTCTCACTTGGGAGGACAAACACTCCCACTAAAGCCTTTTCCTGCTCAATACCCTAAAGTTTACCATCTTTACGTCAATACCAGATGCCTGTGACCTCAGAAGAGACCCTAAATCTCTCTCCACCCTAATTTCTAAGCTTGCAAAATCAAGATAAGAATAATACTGACTTCAGAGGACTGCTGGGAGAATAAAAACAAATGCGATGTCCTGTAAAATTTATTGCCTTTCCCATGAACTATATCAGTGACTATAAAGAATAAGCAAGTTCTCTACCCCTCCCCCATCCTACTTGGCCTGACTGGTTTCCATGAGGTAAGCACTTCGTTAACAGGCCGAGCAAAATACTAGTAACTGACATTTCCTGAGCACTTATTCCCCGCTGGTAACTGTTCTAAGCACTTCATAGGTCATCTCATTTAATCCCCACAAGAATCATGTCCAACAGAACCTATTTTGTCCCCATTCTACAGATGAGGAAAAATAACGATACAAAAAGATGAAGTCACTCGCCCAAGGGCCAGAGCCAGAACTTAAAACCTAGGAAGCTCGGCCAAAAAGCCACGCAGTTAACCCCTCTGTTTACACTGTCTCCCCTATGGACATTCTCTGTGACATATGGGAAGACACATCATGAGGACCAGCGGCAGCAATCAGTGAGACAGCATGTGGAAGTTAATCAAGTGACTAAAAGCAACGTTTGACCCTGGTGGCAGTTCTGGCGAATGGAGCTCAGGCTTGGCTCTCCAGAATTCAAACTGAGATCAGTTGGGTGGGGTTAATGGAACTGCATTCTTCACATCTCCGTGTTCTGGTGACTGAGACTCACCTGAACTTAGCGCATGCTCCACTTCCTGCATGCTCACCCCAGGGGAGGCAGTGGTCTCCATGTCCATCATCACACAGGTCACTTTGGTCGGCACTGTGGCTTGGGGTGTTGTCTCCGCGGGCAGCGGCTGGGCTGTGGCATGTGAAGTGGGTGTGTGGGCAGAGCTGTGCTCTTCTGCTGGGGCCTCTGGTGGGGTCGGGGCTCCGGTGGGCTTGGTGCTGGTCTCGGCAGAGCTGTGATTGGTGCTGGCCGAGGAGGCAGAAGAAACCTCCGGGGGTGAGGTTGATAGGGGTGGGGGTGATGAGGCTGGAGCCTGAGGGGAGGTGAGGGTGGGAGACTCAGTGGGGGCCGCCGAGGGGTGCTGGGACCCTGTGGGGGGCGTGCTTGCCTCCTCGGGAGTGCTTGAGCTGTGTTCTGGGGGAGTGGCTGTTGAGTGCACCCCACCGCCAGCTGGTGAGGGGTCTGTGCTCGTGCCTTCCCGGTGAGAGGCCGGGCCGCTCGTCGTCTCCTCTTCTCTGGGCTCCGTGGAAATGTTCTTGGGGAGCAGAGGTGCTGGCGCCGAGGCTGTGGCTGGGAAGACCGAGTTGCTGGGAGTGCCACTGGTCGGGGAAGCGGGAGGGCTCTGTGGAGAGCTCGTCCAGATGGCCGTGGAAGGGACAGAGGCTGCCGGAAGAGAACCGGGCAAGGGGGCAGACGGAGGCAGGCTCTGTACCCTCAATCCTGTGGAAGAGCCGGCACAAAACATGGTTAGTATGTGAAAACCTCTGAGGGAAGCCTGCTTCACAGCATTTCCACAGGTCTTTCTCATTTTGCATCATGCCCTCCCAACTGTGAAGGTGACTTGTGAATATTTTCTGTCCACTCACTGCTCCCTCCTCCCTTTGTGACTATCAGTGGGAACCAGCCTGGAGGCCCAGTAAGAACCATTAGTGGGTCCATCGACACACTTCCAGCCAATGCATGGAATGACCTAATCTTGTCTCCTGCTTGCTTAAAACTGTGCCCTTAAAAAGTGAGACTCTCTGGGGAACTGACCTTTACCGGGAATTGTCTGGATTGCTATGGGGCCTGCACCCCAATACCTGCGGGGATGCCCAGGGTGTGTGCTGAGGGTGGGGGAGGCAACGGTTGGTGAGTGCAGAGCTGGAGGGGCTTATGGATTGGCTGTTCCCTGCCCCAGAGATTGTGAGCTCTGCTTGTGTGTGTGCGTCTGTGTGTGTGTGTGTGTGTGCGCGCGCACGCGCGCTTTGCATTTATGCACAGGGATACCAGGGCTATGGGCTTGCTGGTGGGATGAGTCAAGATGTGAACACATTGCCTTTGAAGGGGGAAAGGCACGAAGTCCCAGAATAAAAGCTGAGAGCAGGAATCTGAGGTTTGGAAAAATTATCTGGGACTGGAACCTAGTTCTTTCAAATTCTAGCTTGGGGTCTTTACAACCATAGCATTTTGCAAAATGTTCTCCTTCACATTTTGTAACATTTAGAATTAATTTCCTTCCTTCCTCCCTCCATTTGCGCATTCCGTTTAATTAACTAATTAATTCTTTCATCCATTCAAGTACTTAATGAATGGCTTCTATGTGCTATCACTCAGCTAGTCCTGGATTTTGCTTTTGCTTTTTATGTAAACCATCTTTTGATTGAGCCCCCATGCCCCTCACCATCCCCCAACTAGCTTTTCCCCTAGTCATTTCTATTCAGTGGTTGGCACCTTCTTTCACTCAGTTGTTCAGTTAAAAACTGAGACATCACCCTTAATGCACCTCTTTCCCTCACACCCCATATCAAATCCATTGGCGAATCAGAATGAGTCTACCTTGAAAATATATCCCAACCCAACCACTTTTCCTCACCTCCCGCATCATCTCAACATCACCCGAGCCACCAGTCACTCGCAGAGACAACTGCCATAATCTCTTCATTAGTCTTCTGCCTTCCAGATTTTCTCCCTTTCTGTTACTTTTCACATAGCAGCCGGTATGATCTCTTAAAGTGGTACATCAGAGCATGTTCTTTATCTAGTCAAAACCCTCCAAAGTCATTCTGTTGCACTTAGAACAAAATTCCAAACTAATCCCCTACATTGCCCCATGCTCGCTTCATCATTCAGGTTGGTCTCGGCTCAAATGCCACCTCCTTCTCAGAGGAGCCTTCCCAGATGATCCTAACTAAAATCATTCCTACTCCAGCTCCTTGCTTATTTTTTAAAAGATTAATTTTTTAATTGTTAAAATACATATAACATTCACCATTTTAACCATTTTTTAAAAGATTTATTTATCTGAGAGACAGAGAGAGAGGAAGTACACGGTGGGGGGGATGGGGCAGAGGGAGAGGGGGAGAGAGTGTCAAGCAGACTCCACGCTGAGGGTGGAGCCTGATGCTGGGCTTGATCTCACAACCCTAAAATCATGACCTGAGCAGAAACCAAGAGTCGGGCGCTTAACTGACTGTGCCATCTAGGCCCCCCATTTTAACCATTTTTAAGTGTACAGCTCAGTGGTATTAAGTTCAACCATCACCACTAACCCATCTTCAGAACTTTCTCGTCTTCCCAAACTGAAACTCTGTACCATTAAATAACAGTAACTCTCCTTTTTTCCCCCCTCTCCCCAGCCCTGGAAACCACTATTCTACTTTCTGTCTCTATGAATTTGACCGTTCCAGGTAATGCATGTAAGTAGAGTCATATTACAACTGTCCTTTCATGACTGATTTATTTCACTTAGAATAATGTCTTCAAGGTTCATCCATATTGTAACATGTGTCAGAATTTCCTTCCTTTTTAAGGCTGAATAATATTCTATTGTATATATAGACCACATTGTATTCATCCATTCATTCACTTATGGACTTTGATGGGTTGTCTCTACCTTTTGGTGACTGTGAATAATGCTATGAATCTGAGTGTACAAATATCCATTTGAGACCCTGCCTTCAATTCTTTTGGTTATATATCCAAGAAGTGGAAGTAATGGATCATATGGTAATTCTATGTTTGATTTCTTGAGGAACCACTATACCCTTTGCTCATTTTTTTTTTCATAAAATAAAAGTTTCTTCCTGAAATCATATTATTATTTATTTACTTATTATCTCTCTCTTCTATCAGAATGTAAGCTCCATGAGGGTCCAGGGACCTGGTCTTATTCATTTCTGTTTCCCCCAAGCCTAGGACAGTGTCTAGGTCATGGTAAGTGCTCAGTAAGTCCTTGTGGAAGCAAAGAAGGAAGGGAGGGAGGGAGGGAGGGAAGGAGGGAGGGAGGAAGGAAGATGAATTAACTTAAGAACGATATCCAAGGGCGCCTGGGTGGCTCAGTTGGTTAAGCGACTGCCTTCGGCTCAGGTCATGATCCTGGAGTCCCAGGATCGAGTCCCGCATCGGGCTCCCTGCTTGGCAGGGAGTCTGCTTCTCCCTCTCCCACTCCCCGTTTGTGTTCCCTCTCTCGCTGTGTCTTTCTCTGTCAAATAAATAAATAAAATCTTTAAAAAATAATAAAATAAAATTAAAAAAAAAAAAAAGAACGATATCCAAAAATACTCCAGAATCTCTCTATTCTCTTCTACATATCACTTAGTATGGCCACATCCATCAGAGCTACCTCAGGAATGGCTGCCTACCTGGTGTCACATGAGCGCAGGAACCTTGCTTTCAAAGTCAGCCTCAGGCTCTGTCATTCTACAGTGACACATACCTACCTATGCCTCATGTCATGTTAGGTCTTCAACTCTTTAGCCCTCCATATTCAGAGGAGATTTCCTTGCCGGTAGCCTACAGGTAATGGCCAGCCATGATCAAAATTCGTAAGCAATAAAACACGGGCTAGATTCCAGCACAGAGGAAGGGGGAAAAGATATATGGGGAGGCATTCAGGCACTTGGGGGAACACTGCTTACCTCTTCATTCTGGCACACAGTAGATGCTGTAGCTGATGAAAAGTTGTGCTACAGAATCTATTCTGAAAACACTTTTCTCATATTTAACTGAATTTAACGTTTGAATTGTTATTGAAGTACTTGGTTTTATTTTCTCATATTTAACTGAATTTAATGTTTGAATTGTTATCGAAGTACTCGGTTTTATCTTGTTGAAAAGGAGTCGGTAAAGATCATAAACTATAAGTTACTCTCCTAGTAAATAGGAGGGCAGACCTCCTATATTAGGCCACATAATAGTCCATGCTGCTATACTGGACTTTTGGCAGCTCTGAAGTGTCAACGATTTCAGAATGAATACAGAGCAAAAGAACCTTAAAATATGGACAGAACACCAGTTGGGAAAAATATTATTAAAATGCTGGATCTTCGTATGGGACCTTTGGAGCTTACTGGCTCTGCATCCTGGTAGCTCCCATGGCTCATTATTCTGTGGCCAAAACCCCAAGATGACAATGTTCAACTACTGTTGATAGTATCATATAATAGATGGGCAGATGGAGGCGGAGATGGCCGCAGTCTGGTAGCTGATTCAGAGCCTTTGGAAGCCTGGGATATGTGAGGAATGAGTCATACACAAAGGAGCACTAATTCACTAATTCCTTCCTTCCTTCCTTCCTTCCTTCCTTCCTTCCTTCCTTCCTTCCTTCCTTCCTCCCTCCCTCCCTCCCTCCCTCCCTCCCTCCCTCCCTCCCTCCCTCCCTTCCTTCCTTCCTTCCTTCCTTCCTTTACTGAGTAGCTTCTATGCCTGTGGCTTTGCCCTCAGAGGATTCAATATCCAGCAGGACAGAAAGGACACCTTCCTGTAATATGATGTGGCAAGTGCCTCACTTAAGTAAAAGCAGGTTACAGTGGGAGCCCTGAAGTATGATGGATACATTCTGTATAGAGACCGTGGAATGCAAAAGTATACAAACGTCATTTTCAAATGACATTTAGAAAAGTCACAGAAGAGATGACATTTGAGTTGGTTCTGAAAGGATGAGAACACACAAGATGCCACTGAAGGTGTTTGATGTTCAGGGTGACACCTGCTTTGTCATTTCCAGTGGAGCTAAAAGCTGGACCACGAAAATCATTAAAGTGCTGAAAAGAACATGCTCCAGTAATTGGTTTTGTTGCTAGAAATACCTATTTCCTTGTTTAACTCTGACTAGTATACTATTATAACTCCTACCTTCCTGCTTCCAAAGAGGACTGGAGGTGGTCATTCATCTTCCATGGCTACCTTCTGAGTACTTATTTAAAATACTTTACATCCAGTTCAAGCAATTCCTACTCCTAACAAAACAACAATGCAGGAGATTGTGACAGTGCTGGTCATCTTCACTTGAATAAGGCATTAGAAGCCTCTGCTCTGCCTTATTTGATGGTGCATTCCATACTGCTGCGATCGCATGGTGGTGGTGGGTCTTCTTGCAGCATGAAGACATCCAAGGCCCACTAGGACTATCCTAGGGAATGCCTGCTATCTTCCTCCGCTCAGGCTGCCAGCACAAAATACCACATAGACTGGGCAGCTTTAACAACAGGAGTCTACTTCTCACAGTTCGGAGACTGGCAAGTTCAAGCAAGGTGTGGGCCCATTCAGTTTCTGGTAAGAGCTCTATTCCAGGCTTATAGGTGGCCACTTTTTCTCATGGAGTGAGGGAGAGGCAGCAAGCTCTCTGCTGTCTCTTCTCATAAAGGCACTAATCCCATCCTTAGGGCCCCACTGTCACGATCTCATCTAAGCCTAATCACTTCCCCAAAGCCCCATCTCCACATACCATCACACTGGGG